CTACATCAGCTCATTTGAAAGCATTTTTATTGTTATGAGACACACAAGTAGGGAACAGGGAACATTGTGTTGTTCCCTGACTCGTGGCAGGGAACACTGTGTTGTTCCCTGACTCGTGGTAGGGAACGCTGTGTTGTTCCCTGACTCGTGGCAGGGAACGCTGTGTTGTTCCCTGACCAACACAACACCACCTCCACCTACCCATTCCTCCCGTCCAATAACACACCACTACACTGGCTTCCTCACAACTAGAAAGTAGAGTAGGTTACATTCATTTTGTTTTCAAGACGCCGGCCGCTTCCTACCGAGACAGGGTGACCCAAAAAATTTAAAACAGAAGATTTTATTCTTTTTACAGTTAGTAATATATACAGGAGAAGGGGGTTACTAGCCCCTTGTTCCCAGCATTTCAGCCGCCTCTTACGACACGCATGGCTTACGGGGGAAGAATTCTTTTCCACTTGCCCATGGAGATATAGAATTTATACTGTCTTAAAAAAATAATTCCAAACCAGTGCATAGGTATTTGATGTAGAATTAAACAAAGAATTCCTCTGCGTTCCTAAATACATTTTTTTTTACATATTTTTGGGATGCATTAAATACTTTTTAAACTAGATATGTGAAAAATATGTAGATTTATTCCCAATAAAATGGCTTCGACATTTTATCCTCTTCATAAAACGCGACCAAAAATTTTTTTATTGTATAATACAAGTCATAACATTGCTCGTGCATGATTTATTCTCAAAAGGTCATGACACAACTAATTCTACAATCATTTCTTCAGAATTTGTTGTCCAATTTTTCCTATTTCATATGCTTTCTGGTTTATAATTTAAAATATTGAAATATTCGTATGAGGTCCTGGAACCAACAGTTAACACCCAACTGTTATACTGTGTGAGGATAACATTGTTCAGCAGTTAACACCCAACTGTTATACTGTGTGAGGATAACATTGTTCAGCAGTTAACACCCAACTGTTATACTGTGTGAGGATAACATTGTTCAGCAGTAAACATCCAACTGTTATACTGTGTGAGGATAACATTGTTCAGCAGTAAACATCCAACTGTTATACTGTGTGAGGATAACATTGTTCAGCAGTAAACATCCAACTGTTATACTGTGTGAGGATAACATTGTTCAACAGTTAACACCCAACAGTTATACTGTGTGAGGATAACATTGTTCAGCAGTTAACACCCAACTGTTATACTGTGTGAGGATAACATTGTTCAGCAGTTTAATCCATCCCTCAGGTTGAAATTCTGGCTTATATCATTCTGGGAATTCCTGGCTTAGGTCATCCCCAGAATTGTGGCTGCGCTGCCACCTGTTATGTTCCCTAGTGGAATAAGACCAAGAGTCGGTATTGGGATACATCCTAGGTACTGGGATACATCCTAGGTACTAGGATGCATCCTAGGTACTGGGATACATCCTAGGTACTAGGATGCATCCTAGGTACTGGGATACAACCTAGGTACTGGGATGCAACCTAGGTTCTGGGATGCAACCTAGGTTCTGGGATGCAACCTAGGTTCTGGGATGCAACCTAGGTACTGGGATGCATCCTAGGTACTGGAATGCATCCTAGATACTGGGATGCAACCTAGATACTGGGATGCAACCTAGGTACTGGGATGCAACCTAGGTACTGGGATGCATCCTACATGCTGGAATGCATCCTAGGTACTGGGATGCAACTTAGGTGCTGGGATGTATCCTAGGTGCTGGGATGCATCCTACGTGCTGGGATGCATCCTAGGTACTGGGATGCATCCTAGGTACTGGGATGCAACCTAGGTACTGGGATGCATCCTAGGTACTGGGATGCAACCTAGGTACTGGGATGTATCCTAGTACTAGTGCATTAGGTACTGGATGCACCTAGGTACTGGGATGCATCCTAGGTACTGGATGCATCCTAGTGCTGGGATCAACCTAGGTACTGGATGCAACCTAGGTCTGGGATGCAACCTAGGTATCTGGGATGCAACCTAGGTACTGGATGCAATCCTAGGTCTGGGATGCAACCTAGGTACTGGGATACAACCTAGGTACTGGGATGCAACCTAGGTTCTGGGATGCAACCTAGGTTACTGGGATGCAACCTAGGTTACTGGGATGCAACCTAGGTTCTTTGGGGTGCAACCTAGGTTACTGGGATGCAACCTAGGTGCTGGGATGCACCTAGGTACTGGGATACAACCTAGTACTGGGATGACAACCTAGTACTGGGATGCAACCTAGGTACTGGATACAACCTAGGTACTGGGATACATACCTACGTGCTGGGATACAACCTAGGTACTGGGATGCAACCTAGGTTTTGGATGTATCCTAGGTGCTGGGATGCAACCTAGGTACTGGGATGCAACCTAGGTACTGGGATCACCTAGTACTGGGTGCACCTAGGTACTGGGATACAACCTAGTACTGGGATACAACCTAGGTACTGGGATCAACCTAGGTTCTGGGATACAACCTAGGTTCTGGGATACAACCTAGGTCTGGATACAACCTAGGTACTGGGATACAATCCTAGGTACTGGATGCATACCTAGATACTGGATGCAACCTAGATACTGGGATGCAACCTAGGTACTGGGATGCAACCTAGGTACTGGGATGCATCCTACATGCTGGAATGCATCCTAGGTACTGGGATGCAACTTAGGTGCTGGGATGTATCCTAGGTGCTGGGATGCATCCTACGTGCTGGGATGCATCCTAGGTACTGGGATGCATCCTAGGTACTGGGATGCAACCTAGGTACTGGGATGTATCCTAGGTACTGGGTTGCATTCTAGGTACTGGGATGTATCCTAGGTACTGGGTTGCATTCTAGGTACTGGGATGCACCCTAGGTACTGGGATGCATCCTAGGTACTGTGATGCATCCTAGGTACTGGGATACAACCTAGGTACTGGGATGCAACCTAGGTTCTGGGATGCAACCTAGGTTCTGGGATGCAACCTAGGTTCTGGGATGCAACCTAGGTGCTGGGATGCAACCTAGGTACTGGGATGCATCCTAGGTACTGGGATGCATCCTAGGTACTGGGATACAACCTAGGTACTGGGATACAACCTAGGTACTGGGATGCAACCTAGGTTTTGGGATGCAACCTAGGTTCTGGGATGCAACCTAGGTGCTGGGATGCAACCTAGGTACTGGGATACAACCTAAGTACTGGGATACAACCTAGGTACTGGGATACAACCTAGGTACTAGGATACAACCTAGGTGCTGGGATACAACCTAGGTACTGGGATACAACCTAGGTACTGGGATGCAACCTAGGTTTTGGGATGCAACCTAGGTTCTGGGATGCAACCTAGGTGCTGGGATGCAACCTAGGTACTGGGATACAACCTAAGTACTGGGATGCAACCTAGGTACTGGGATACAACCTAAGTACTGGGATACAACCTAGGTACTGGGATACAACCTAGGTACTAGGATACAACCTAGGTGCTGGGATACAACCTAGGTACTGGGATACAACCTAGGTACTGGGATACAACCTAGGTACTGGGATGCAACCTAGGTTTTGGGATGCAACCTAGGTTCTGGGATGCAACCTAGGTGCTGGGATGCAACCTAGGTACTGGGATACAACCTAAGTACTGGGATACAACCTAGGTACTGGGATACAACCTAGGTACTGGGATACAACCTAGGTACTGGATACAACCTAGGGGCTGGGATACAACCTAGGTACTGGGATACAACCTAGGTACTGGGATACAACCTAGGTACTGGGATACAACCTAGGTACTGGGATACAACCTAGGTACTGGGATACAACCTAGGTACTGGGATACAACCTAGGTACTGGGATACAACCTAGGTACTGGGATACAACCTAGGTACTGGGATACAACCTTGGTACTGGGATACAACCTAGGTGCTGGGATACAACCTAGGTACTGGGATACAACCTAGGTACTGGGATACAACCTATGTACTGGGATACAACCTAGGTACTGGGATACAACCTAGGTACTGGGATACAACCTAGGTACTGGGATACAACCTAGGTACTGGGATACAACCTAGGTACTGGGATGCAACCTTGGTACTGGGATACAACCTAGGTACTGGGATACAACCTAGGTACTGGGATACAACCTAGGTACTGGGATGCAACCTTGGTACTGGGATACAACCTTGGTACTGGGATACAACCTAGGTACTGGGATACATCCTTGGTACTGGGATACATCCTAGGTAGTTGAAGGAGCACCTACCCGGTAGTACGGCATTATTTTCACAATTAGTGTGTCCCAGAGCTCAGTGTAAAGACCTGAGATTTATTTGTAATTTGAACTTCTCGGTACTACTGAGTGAAGCCTGAGTGAGTGAGTGACTGAGTGAGTGACTGAGTGAGTGAGTGAGTGAGTGAGTGATTACGTCCCAAGGTTTCAATATTTGAGCCTCGAGTCAGTTCTAAGATAGTATAACTTTATACATGATTCTCTGGATCAGTGCTAAATCCCAAGAACGTATAATATAACCCATGGCTCAGTTCTATAGCCCATTTCTATAACCCACAGCTCTGTGAGACGATGCAGTATTAGCTACCACAAAATAAAAGGTTACTGAAGACACGGGGTGAACTGCGCTCTATCTGGCATTTATGACTAATATTTTGTACCTTGTATACGTAACATATTGTACTTGTACGTATAAGATTTGTACGTAATTCTTTCCAACTAAGAGTGCAAATTTTCCGTGGACAACTACCTCTCCTAATGACCTCTAACTACCATGGCATGAAGGATATTCCGTTACTATGGGATTGGGGGGGGGGTGATTATGGAAGGGTTTCAGTCCCATTGTTATCACATAATAGATCGCCATCACAAGGGATAACTTCCCTGTTTGAAATTTACAGCCCAAGGGAGCTTTTAAAGTGTTCCTTTGCTTTGACCTTCGAATTTATGCTGTGAGGACATAATATCCTCCTCTTCTTCCTCTCTCGCAGGGCATCGGGTCGTTGTTCTCAGCGCTGAAAGTAGTACGACTTCTGAGACTAGGTCGAGTGGTGAGGAAGCTAGACCGCTATTTGGAGTATGGTGCTGCCATGCTCATCCTCCTCCTGTGTTTCTACATGCTGGTGGCCCACTGGCTCGCCTGTATCTGGTACAGCATAGGTAGGTGCCTCTCGCCGCCTTCACAGCGCCCACTACAATACCGGTACGTTTAATCTTCAGTTCGAGTCCAGTGCTCTCTTAAAGTCAATAATTCTTCACTTTCTTTCGCTCGAAACTCAAGCAGGTCGCCAGCAATGTGGCCAGACATTGCCGAGTATTATTTAAAACATTCATTAAAACGAGTGACCACAGACGAACCTTCTGACGACGTTCTGGATAATCCTGGAGCATTGTCAAGTCACAACTGGGGACGAGAAAAGTAAAAAAGCCAAAAGAAGGCCAACCGCATGGTCTTTTGGTCTTCTCTACTTTTCTGGCCCCGGTTGTGATTTGACAATGGCCCAAGAGGGATCATTGTCAGGTTACAAGCCATAAGATTCCTCTGTTAAATACGACTTTTTGGTTACTTGCGTTAGCCACGGTATTGTTACTTTATATTCTTCAGGGATACATGAATGATTAGATCGTCTCACCTTTTCAGTCGTCTTTGTACGTGTAGGAAAGATATTTCAGAAGAGTGAAGACACGACCAGGCACTCACCTGGGTTCTCCTTGGGCAGGTAAGAGCGACGCTGACAACGGGATCCAGTACTCATGGTTGTGGAAGCTGGCTAACGTCACTCAGACTCCTTACGCCTATATCGTGTCCAACGGCTCCAACACGCTGGAGCTCATCAACGGACCCAGCAAGAAGACCATGTACGTGACCTCTCTCTACTTCACCATGACCTGCATGACGTCCGTGGGGTTCGGCAACGTGGCGGCGGAGACGGATAACGAGAAGATCTTCACGATATGCATGATGATTATCGCAGGTACGTTGATGAGCTCCAGCGTATTGGGACCGTTGGAGACGCCTTCTTTACCTAACCTGGATTTGCCTATTGACGGATTGTGATGCAATATACGTTAACAATAATGACCATGGTGACTGCCATCTCGCAGGCGTTCCGGAGTAACTCACAACCCTTTGTGATCTCTCTTGTTCCTCTGATCTCATTTTGTGTTTCTACTCTCGTGTGCCTTTGAAAATCCATCATTCTGGTGTGTTTGAGCCTCAGAATTTCTTCTCTTGTCTTGTACTTCTGCCCTTCCTCGAGGAAGCTTCTGTTTTTTTTTCTCACGTTAACCTCTAAACTTCTCCAGATTAACTCTTCTCTTTGAACCTGCACACCCTCCCTCTGTCCTCGAGTTTGTGTTCACTATCTCCTCCCTTCCATCACTCAACAACCCTCACAGACTTTGTACTCTCCTCCCCTGCATCCCTTAGCATCCTTTATAAACTTTGTACTCTCCTCCCCTCCAACCCTTATCAACCCTCATAGACTTCGTACTCTCCTCCCCTCCATCCCTTATCAGCCCTCATAGACTTTTTACTCTCCTCCCCTACACTCCTTAGCAACTCTCACGGACTTTGTATTCTTCAGGCAAGCCACTCACTGTATCCCCTGAAACAGCGCCCCCCTGTACCCCTGAACCTGTGCTCTCTCTCCCTCCCTTCCAACAGCGCTGCTCTACGCTACTATCTTCGGCCACGTCACTACTATCATCCAGCAGATGACCTCAGCCACAGCCAAGTACCATGAAATGCTGAACAACGTACGCGAGTTCATGAAGCTCCATGAGGTACCTAAGGCCCTGTCGGAGAGGGTCATGGACTATGTCGTCTCAACGTGGGCCATGACCAAGGGCATCGATACCAACAAGGTAGAAACCGAGGTACTTATGACCCAACGCGACGGCCGGAAGTTATACAAGTGAAAAGCATGGTGTACTCTGAGTGGGATTTACCTATCTGTTTCTTTTTCTTGGTTTATTTTTCTCTGTCCATTGATTCGCTCTGTCACGCCCCTGAGGACCCACCCACGTGTGTGCTCATGTACACGCCTGTGTGTGTGTGTGTGTGTGTGTGTGTGTGTGTGCGAGCGTCAGACAGCTTGTACACAGCCGCTATAACTATACGCCCACATTCATACTCACAGCACGCACACACACATTTACACAGCAACATACACACATGTACACATTCAGACATAAACGTACATACACAGACACATGCAAACACCAACATACACATTCAAACACCAACATATGCACATACATACATGATACACACACATGACACTCACTACACACACACACACACACACACACACATACACACACACACACACACACACACACACACACACACACACACACACACACACACACACACATACACACACACACAGCCCCTAACCACTCTCCACAATAACTACCAAAGTGTACCCAGAGAGAAATTACTCCTTGCTTAACTAACAGCGCACCTGCCTTGCTTCATCAATTTCCAAAGCTGATCGTAAACAAAACAGCGAATGTTACAGAGGTAAGTTAGTCAGCATGAAGGATCCACTATGTACCGTAGTTAGTTGTAAATCCACTCACACACTAAATCCCATTATTTAACTCCATTAAAAATTAAAAGGAAATAATTAAATGGATTTAACGCTTTTTTGGTAGTGTATTAGAAGTGCTGATTGTTATTCATTGGTGTTGAAAACTGGAGATTACAGCCAAACAACTCCAAAATTCATTGATTCCAAATTATTCAAGATTTAGTAGGCTCACTTTCAGATTATTTCTTTTTTCACCTTGGGCCATGACACTACGCTCTAGAATGTGGCACTGATTTGTGACTTTTGGCACTGGTGTGACCCTCAACACTGACCTGTAACCCTGGACACTAAATGATGACTTTTCACACTGATTTATGACTCTTGGCACTGATGTGACCCTTGACACTGATTTGCGACCCTTGACACTCATTTGCGACCCTGAGCAATGACTGATGACTTTTCACACTGATTTATGACTCTTAGCACTGATGTGACTCTTGGCACTGATGTGGCCCATGGCACTGATGTGACCCTTGGCGATGATTTGGTGCTTGGCACCGACATCGACTTGTCAACATTGATTTTTAATCTGGCACTGATTTGTAACTTCGCACCGTGTTGTGACTCTAGGCACTGACCTGCAACATTTGGCACTGACCTGCCGGTAGCGACACTTGATGTATTAATGTTAACACTGTCTTGGTATGGTAATGACGGTAGGAGAGTGAGCAACAACAACGTGGAACTGACTTATTTAGTCGTGATACAAACCATGGCAGATGACAACCCAGGTTCACTCTTTGGTAGTGACCAATATGTGGTGGAACTAGTGTGTTCTCCCTCTCACTCTAACACACACACACACACACATACACACACACACACACACACACACACACACACATACACACACACACACACACACACATACACACACACACACACACACACACACACACACACATACACACACACACACACACACACATACACACACGCAACTGTTACAGAGCACCTCTACAGCGTGTGTGGGTACCAATCTATGGGCTGACTTTAGTGCCCTTCCTCTTCAAAAGCTCAGAAATATACATGCACAATATTGAGACATTCATGCATTATTTTGCTTGCTCTGGTTTTTTCTCCGGAAATGGGCTTGACTTTATTATTATTATATATATACATTTTTGCATGCTTTTCACTAGTATAAGACGCGGGTTCCCTCCCAAAGTGAGACTCGCAGAGTGCATCCCGCCCCTGGCTGGCTGGCTGGTTCCTACTGCTGCTGGTCCTTCGAACCGGATACCACGGACTCGCATGCTGGGGTACTCTGCTCTCTTCGTCTCATCCTCAGGGTTCTCCACTATGACATATCTCTTCTTCCCCCATATTTTCACATTCACTTCTCTACCATCTCCGTACTCTCACACTGTCATTTCTCTTATGTTGTCACTTAAGCTCTTTTTTCCTAGGTTCCTGGGCCATCTCCATCGGCCACCAGTCTAGGGAGGGAACCCCGAACCCGGCCACTGCGTGCAGGTGTTGCTAGGTGTTAGACACCTGTATACATCCCTGCCTCCCTCCCTCCCTCCCATTGTTTCTCAGTCTCCATGTCATTATCTCCCTCCCTCCAGCTCTTTGTTTCTCTTTCCTATCCTCATTTGTTCTTCTTCCTCTTCATCCCTGCCTCCATCATTCTGTTCCCCCAACTCTCTCTCTCTCTCTCTCTCTCTCTCCTCTCTCTCTCTCTCTCTCTCCTAACTCTCTTTTTATATATCTTCCTCCTAACCCCTCTCCTTCCCCTTGTCTTTTTTAGTCTCTCCCCTTCTCCCCATACTCCAATTTTCCCTTCCCCACGACTCATCTAGCTCATATCTCTCCCCCTCCCTCCCTCCCTCCCTTATAAGTATATCTCTCTCATTACTCTTTCCCTCCTTCCCTCCGTCTTTCCCTTCCCATCTCTGCCTATCCTATCTCTCAAAATCTCCCCACTTGTCTTTCCTTCCTGATGTCTCTCTCCACACTCTCATCTCTCCTTCTCCACGTCTTTCCCTGAATATCTCCCTCCCCATTCATTAAGATGACTACTTTAACTAATCATATGCTAATTAACCTCATTACCCATCCCTTTAATTATCCCCAAACCCGCCAGCTTAACAAGCTCGTAAGTAGAGTTTCTTTTAATAATAAACTCATCTGACGTATTTCATCTAGTTTTGCTGTTGCTAGGCCATGAGAGGGGCAGTAAGACGGGTGAGGGTGAGAGGGAGGGTGAGGGATGAGGGGTGAGGGTGAGGGGTGTGGGTGAGGGATGAGGGTGAGGATGAGGGTGAGGGTGAAGGGTGAGGGGTGAGGGTGAAGGTAGGATACAGCAGTGAAAAAAAGTAAAGTTTTGAGTTAAAAGGAAGAGTGTTACGATATGCTCAGTGGTGTGACCACTCTGGGTGGGTTTTAAAATAATGGTTTTCGTCACACAGGGACGAGTAACTATTACATCGAAAGCACAATTTTTATTGCTAACTCGAAAATAATAACTTATGCCCTTTTCAATTATTGCTTAATTTGTCTTATTTAATTTTATAAATACTGACTTTTATTCTTTGTTTTTTTAAAGAATGAGTTGGCAAATACTTAGTTTATAGTTTAACTTTAATTATTATAAGTTTAGTGTTCTAGTATACGTCAGCTGTCCTTAGCTATGATGTATTTTAAGATACAACAGACTGTGTTGAGTATTGTAGGATATATTGGACTCTCTTGTGTATTCTAAGATACACCAAACTGTTGTATATATTTGAGTTTATACCTGAGTGTGGAAAAACACTTATGTTTAATGAAACATTTAGTAGTCAGAAGTACCGAATAAAGTGGACATAGATGATATGTGTATGATAGCAGCTGTGAGGATGCTGGCTGACTTTGCTGTGAGGATGCTCGCTGATTTTGCTGTGAGAATGCTCGCTGACTTTGCTGTGAGAATGCTGGCTGACTTTGCTGTGAGGATGCTGGCTGACTTTGCTGTGAGGATGCTGGCTGACTTTGCTGTGAGGCTGCTGGCTGACTCTGCTGAGACTACGCTGGATAACTTTGTTGTGAGGATGCTGGCTGACTCTGCTGAGACGATTCCGGATAACTATGCTGTGAGGATGCTGGCTTACTTTGGTGTGAGGATGCTGGCTGACTTTGCTGTTAGGATGCTCGCTGACTCTGCTGAGACGATGCTGGATAACTTTGCTGTGAGGATGCTAGCTGACTCTGCTGAGACGATGCTGGATGACTGTGCTGTGAGGATGCTGGCTGACTTTGCTGAGACGATCTTCTGATCTTCACCATTCTTCTTTGAATAGGACTGATGAAGTCACTGTGTGGCGAAACGTTTCCTCAAAGTCTGAGGGACTTATTACCTTATATTTTATATAGTTCTACTATCTTCCAGTTATGTCCTTGAATTTGTATTGATAAAGCCACTGGTGGGCGAAACGTCTACAGTAAAAATACCCAGATGTTACACATATTTAATTCTTCAAAGAAAAGATTGTTAAACAACTCCTCCAGAAAAACAAGCTAGTGTGTTAAGGCTCTTCATGCGTGAGTGACAGCAGCTCCTAGAGAGAGAGGTTGTGTGAGACTTACACAACCTTCAACAAAGATATGGCAACGATAACTGACCGTATCGCTTTCTAGGTTAGCGGGAACAGACAGACATAAAATGGGATATGGGATGATGAAAACTATGGAGTGTGTTTATGCAATAAAACATTTAAAATCATGTGAAGTGGCCAAGTTGAAAACGGGAAATCGTCTGTGCGCAGGGATAGCTAAATATTTTATTCAAAATATTTTCTTCCATGTAATGCATTGTATATCGACAGGATATATACAATAAGATGAGTATATCTCTGTGTATATACACTGCTGGTGAGGTGTATGTGATACAGCAGCCTTAATGACCCCTCGTGCAGTCCACATGCTTTAAAAATAAACCAATTGATGATGATCTAATTAGGTTTGATAAGTTTTAAGAGTAGGGTACACACTGTCAAGCAATGTTCATTATAACTCGCTGTTCGGAGTTTCACTTGGCATTCAACTCTGTGTAGAGTATAGGTGGCGCCTGGTTATTACGTTTCTGTGTTGTATCACAAATATATCCATTACAATGCATTATTTTTTGTCTGATCTTCGTAAATAATACATTTTTCTTCTGTCAGAAGGACTGACTAAGAGACAATTGGTGAATCGTTATTTATTAATAGTTAATGAGGTGCTGAAGCAAGGGATAGTATTTTTGAAACAGTCTATGAAAAGAGTGACAGCATTACCAACAAAGGTCATAAAACCAACAAGGGTCATAAAAAATATAGAGAATAGAAGTCCCAAGTAAAATTTAACATAAATGTCAGAGCGACTACAATTAAATTCAGATTATACATAGATCCAGAGGTGGTTCGCAGAAAAACAGATTAGAGATATAAATTAATGTGATATGGGGAGTAGAGAAGACGTCAGGTATAGTGAGAGTGGTCGTTGGTGTGGTATGTGATGCAGTGAGTCTGGTTGTGATATAGTGAGGGTGGTACTCTGGTACCAACGCTTATATATGGATGTGAGGCATGGGGCTTAAATGCTGCAGCAAGAAGGCTAGAGCAAGTAGAGATGTCGTGTTTGAGAGCAATGTGTAGGAGTAAATATTATGAACAGAATTCTGGGCATAGAGTTTAAGGTGGGGGAAATCGTTCTTGAGTGATAAAAAAAAATTGAAAAGTTATGGAAAAAAATTACTTTCTTACCGAAAAATAGTGCATAATTCTGGCAACAAGTTAATGTAATTAGCTTGTTTCTATCATATTTCTAAGTATTTTTTCCAAAAATGTATTTTTTTTTTGTTCTTGCTGTCATCAAAAAGACATAATGCCAATCTGCTTTGTATTTTCCTCCAAAAATTACGATTTTTATGATTGTTTCATTATAAATACACTACATTGCAATTTCTCTGAGGATTCCATTCAGGGCGTGATAAGAGCTCAGTCGCCTGTGGGTTGTCAACATGTGTTGAGGTGTACAACATACTGAAATGTGGCAAGTCATGACCGTAGAGTTTTACAGAAAACATAATATATGTGTAACTCAGGAATAAGTTGACATTATTTTCCATTTTTGGCAAAAAGTGTTTATAGCAGTGTCATGATTTTTGCACACGTTATTGAGTAATGATGCTTCTACTAATATGCAAAGGAGATTTGTGATATTTTTTACCTCTGTCTTTTTATTGATTTTTTTTCCCAAAAAAGTCCTTAAAAAAATAATAAACTTCAGCACTTTTTATTATACAATCTATTGATATTTTCGCTCAAACGGGGTTATTACATAAGAACATAAGAAAGGAGGAACACTGCAGCAGGCCTGTTGGCCCATACTAGGCAGGTCCTTTACAATTCATCCCACTAACAAAACATTTGCCCAACCCAGTTTTCAATGCTACCCAAGAAATAAGCTCTGATGTGCAAGTCCCACTCAAATCCAACCCCTCCCACTCATGTATTTATCCAACCTAAATTTGAAACTACCCAAAGTCCCAGCCTCAATAACCCAACTAGGTAGACTGTTCCACTCATTAACTACCCTATTTCCAAACCAGTACTTTCCTATGTCCTTTCTAAATCTAAACTTATCTAATTTAAATCCATTGCTGCGGGTTCTCTCTTGGAGAGATATCCTCAAGACCTTATTAATATCCCCTTTATTAATTCCTATCTTCCACTTATACACCTCGATCAGGTCTCCCCTCATTCTTCGTCTAACAAGTGAATGTAATTTAAGAGTCTTCAGTCTTTCTTCATAAGGAAGATTTCTAATGCTGGGAAGATTTCTAATGCTAGATTATCTATCCCTTATCTTTCATCTGACCAATTTTGTAGATAAGGGAGAGTTTTATGCCCTATGGAATTATGCACTATTTATTTTTTCTATCTTTTAAAGCAAAAATTCACTACAAACACAGTGTGTAGGCTTCAAATGCTGCTTAAATCACTGTAAAAGTTTCATTGAAATTTGACCAAAAATAAAAGACCGAGTGGGATTACTGAAGGTATAATCCAGACGGCTGAGGAGAGGTTGAGATAGCTTAGTCCATTGAGAGGGTGTGGTAAAGTAAGATGACTAGGAGGGTGTATAAATCTGGGGTAGAGAGAAAAGAAAGGGGCTGCCCTGGGACGGGGTTGGAGGAACGGTTGTAGAGGAGGTTTTGAGTACTGCTTGAACGTCCAACAGGTTTGTGTGAGTGAGTTAAAGACTGAGGGCAAGAACATTTTATGATCTGATGTTCTGTTGGAGTGTAAGATAATATTTATGAAGGAATTCAGGGGAAAACGTTCAGCCAGACTTGAGTCCTGAAGATGTCTGCACTTCGAAGGACGGGTGTGGGATGTTGCAGTTTGGAAGATCATCTGAACTGTGATATATACACACTTTTGGCAAGACAGTGATTGAATGAATGATGGTGGGAGACGGTCGGTGCGTTAACAAAATATCCACTTATATCACAGAGGGATAACAACTCATATTTATGATTAAGATATCATTAGTTATGTGTTAAGGAATCGCCAAGTATGTGAAGTGAGAGATGACACAGCAAACAGCAGGAGTCACCCTGGGGATGGTGACACAGCAGACAGCAAGGGTCACCCTGGGGATGGTGACACAGCAGACAGCAGGGGTCACCCTGGGGATGGTGACAGTACTGACGTGTGCGGCTGTGCATGCTGAATCCGTATACAACACTTTCACTGCATTACACAACACCTTTGTGTATTACTGATACCAATCCGGTATAACTCTCACCCCAGACCGCTGCTGAATCGAGAGCTTCCCGTGTGTGTGTGTGTGTTTGTGTGTGTGTGTGTGTGTGTGTGTGTGTGTATGTGTGTGTGTGTGTGTGTGTGTGTGTGTGTGTGTGTATGTTTGTTTGTGTGTGTGTAAAACACGCCTCCGTTGCTTATTTCAATACTCTTAACGAGGAAAATAATTCATTTTCTCATGCACAGACTGCTTATTTTTGCAACAATATATTTGCATTGTTCTCTGTTATGCACAATATTTGAAGCTTGCAAATTCTCCTGTTGCAGGCTCAGATTTTTTTTCTCTCTGTATATACAAGCTTACACGAGTTAATATTTCTGATACAATCACTGTGTGAAATCTATTTTGACTTTGTCAAAACTGGGTGGCATCCTAGATGTAGTGGCCCTCTTGAGTGGCACTAGAGGCACCATATTGACTCTGACCCCTCCATTAGGTGCTCAACTACTGTCCCAAGGATATGAAGGCCGACATCTGTGTCCACTTGAATCGCAAAGTCTTCAACGAGCATCCCGCCTTCCGTCTGGCCTCCGACGGCTGTCTCCGAGCACTGGCCATGCACTTCACTATGAGTCACTCAGCCCCAGGTGAGTCCTTGTCTGCTGGCCAAGTAACCTGTCTCTTGGCCGGGTAAACTGTTTGCTGGCCAGGTAACCTGCCTGTTGGTCTGGTAACCTGTCTGCTGACCAGGTAACCTATCTGCTGGCCAGGAAATGTCTCTCACATGTATAATCCTACGAATCTATTATACCTTATTGTTAGTTTTTTCCCACTTTGGTATTTCTCCATATAATGATGTTACGGATTTTAATGTTCTCTCTCTCTCTCTCTCTCTCTCTCTCTCTCTCTCTCTCTCTCTCTCTCTCTCTCTCTCTCTCTCTCTCTCTCTCTCTCTCTCTCTCTCTCTCTCTCTCTCGCTCTCTCTCTCTCACTCTCTCTCTCTCCTTTTCTCTCCCATTGCTCCCTCTTCAGCAGGGGCAATACTGACACTGTTGGAAAGAGAGACAAATTCAGTTAGTAATATACTTTATTGACGATCTTCTTAGTGATGCATCTCGCTACACTGTATAGGTCTACTTCCATATAATATGTTATAGCAGTGTTGTGAGGAACGTCCTGTAGCGTGGTATACCACAGCCAGAGCCTCGCTTGGAATTAAGCTGAGGCAACACGCCAGATGTAATGATAAACTATCCGAGAATATGTAAACATTGGGAGATAAGTCAGATCTCTACATCACAACAGCAACACTATTGTGTTGCAGAGAGAAAGAGATGACAGACACAGTGTTGCTGTAGTGTTGCAGAGAGGTGACAGAGCGCTTGTGTAGTGTTTTAGAGAGGGGTGACAGACAGTGTTTTTGTGGTGTTACAGACACAGAGGTGACACAGTGTTGTTGTGGTTGTTGCAGGTGATTTGTTGTTCCACACGGGGGAGTCGCTGGACACCCTCTGTTTCATAGTGACGGGGTCACTGGAGGTCATCCAAGACGACGAAGTGGTGGCCATCCTGGGCAAGTGTGATGTCTTCGGCGACACCTTCTGGAAGGATCCCACCGTAGGTCAGAGCGCAGCCAATGTGCGCGCCCTCACCTACTGCGACCTCCACGCCATCAAGAGGGAGAAGCTCCTGGAGGTGCTGGATTTCTACCACGCCTTCGCCAACTCCTTCGCCAGGAACCTGGTACTCACGTATAACCTCAGACACAGGGTGAGTAACCTTCTGACATGGCTGTGGTTTATTCTGGGTAATCAGTAGTAATTGTCGTGGGTAATGGAAGGTAATCAGATCTGATCCGAGGAAGGAGAGGGTAACTTAAGTTCTTTTTATCAACAGCTCTTCTGCAGCATCACTGCTCAATCGTCAATCGTCTATGTTTCATCCAACTTTCTTAAAAGTACCCTTTTCCAGGGCAACATTTGATGGTAATACTGTGGTAGAATATACCGTAACAATGCAAATAAGAAACAGTATGGTGATTGTGACATTTATGAATACATTTCTCCTTGTTGGGTGAAATGTCTTCAAAAATTTAATTTCATAACCCACAGATTTTTGTCTTAGAGTAGTGGGGCTCATGTTAACTTTCCTGTGGCTTCCAATGGTTTCCAATGGGTTGGATGAATCTCATTAGAACTGGCTTACAGTGGGTTCAAAGCCCACCCGTCTCGTAACTTATTTACGGCATGTATATTCTCCCTGCGCAGCTCATCTTCAGGAAGGTGAGCGACGTGCGCCGGGAGAAGGAACTAGCGGAGAGGCGCAAACACGAGCCCCAGCAGGAACTCAGCCATGACCACCTCGTCAGGAAAATCTTCTCCAGGTAAGCAAGTCGAGACTTCAGCCGAAGTATTGTGGGTTTCTAAATGGGTTATCCTCTTCCATGATGTTGGGAAAAGGGGTCATAAATTGATTTGACACATGTACGCTAACGACTTCATGTAAAGGAACTTAGTCCCTAAAGCAACGCAGAATTAAGTTCCACTATGTAAACAGGATTCCTTGGAAGCCCTTTACGATTTGGGGAAAAATAAAGTGTTACAGTGAATCGTTGCTTCTGGGTAAATCAAGTTGCCTTGCATACTATTGCCCTCGCACTTGGTTGACTGAGAAAATTATGTTCCGTTGCACCTATTTTCCTTTTGGTAACGTTTCTTAGGATATATTGCTCCGTGTGGGCAGTCGTCTTGTTTACAAACAAATTACCTTAGGGAGGAAGTAGAAGCTATGAAGGAGTGTTCTAACTGGGAAAATATGTTAATTATGCATAAGAAACTAATTCCTTTAGCAAAGATAATTTTAATATACCATTTTTTATTCTAAATGATAATTTAAATATAAATAATACGTCGTTGTTAAATTGTTCATTCAATGTTTGGAGATCCAGAGGCTCGGGTGTGTGCTCACCTTTTTGTGGTTGCAGGGGTAGAGTCACAGCTCCTGGCCCCGCATGTATGTGTTTGTGTGTGTGTGTGTATGTGCTTGTCTCACGTCTGGTGTAATCCAGCCCTTGACTATGTTTCTTTTCCTTGTTTCTGTGACTTCCGACAACCAGTGTCAGCGATCAAACTTGGAGGTAAAGTCCATCGCCCGGGTCCTCCAGTTGGGTCAGACCTCGGGCCTCACGCCAGCCTTCTTGAGTCATTACCTTTAATAAGTCTTTCTCAGATCTGCTTCGCCAGAGTCAGGGGCAAAATTTCTAAATATATTTTTTTTAAGCTGCTTTATTTTCAATGCTCTGCTTTTACGGGATCGTTTACCGTATTCTGTATATTTTTTCATCAGTCTTGTATTTATTATCTCTTAACCTCATTAATATTTGGATGAAGAAAAGATCGTAACAGAAGAAGCCGTGAAACTTAGAGATTGTGATGTAAATGATTTAGAAATCCGACAAGTTGAAGAATTAGACACTTTTGCAAATGTTGCAGAGGTGTCTAATTCTTTAACTCGGAGATGGTGTTGAGAGGCTGTTGTAGGCAGAGTGCTGCTGACAGTGGCTCTCTTGCACATTCTTCCAGCCCGCGGCTACCTCATCCGCTATACACTTCTAGAAAGTATTGCATTATCCCCTTAACAATAGTATAAAGAGAAGCTTAATATCTTATATTTTGACTGAGTATGAGGTCCGTGTGGTGCAAGTTGACGAGTCCTGTGCAGGACTCTGGGAGTCACTCTCCAGCTTCACGTTTTGCTTCCCGTCTCTTGTTTCTCTTCCCCCTCCTAACCTCATAGTTCCTACGATAGAGTGAGTCGTTCACTACCCTCAAGCTGCCCATCCTCTTACTGCCTGCCCAGTGGTAGAATGCACTTATTAAACCTGATCCGCCTAGGTGTAATCCCTCACCGTGAGTTCCCTGCCATCATTAATTCCTCTTTAGAATTCGCCCCGGCTTCCTCGAAGTCACTTTCTAATACTGGGCCCATATTCTTATCTCCGAAAATGCGTTAGTCTTCTCCTTTATCAGTGCCTATAGTAAGTTTCCAACTCATAGAATTAAATCACAACCAATTCCCTGCCTTCAGCACCTACTTGCAGTGCACTAACCAGTCCCTAGATACCAGTTATTGCCTTGCCTTAGCTGACAGTACTCACTCTTAGCTAACCTCGACAAATCCTGTCAGACTGATATTTGATGGCCATCCTTCGCCAGCGATTAGTTCCCCAGTGTAGCTCTTTGTCCCCAAACCTCACTACCTAAAATGAGCCTCTTGTGATCCGCAGTAAATATCGAAGGTTATTATTCCAATATGAAACTAGCAGTTACGGGTGAGGCTGCTCTTACTTAGTGCTGGGTAGGACTCCCAGGTTCCCCTGCCCTCACTCAACACTTAGGCCACTCCCAAAAGTCCTCTACTCCGCTTGTTACTCTAGCCATTACTGATCATTCAGGGTAGAGTCTAACCCAGTTGTAGCATTAGTTTGTGTTTCAATCGCTTTGCATCCCTAACTTACCCAGCTGAATGGGTGAGGCCCCAGGCGGTGTACCTGTTGTGCCCTGCCAGCTGCCTCTGCTTGTAGCACCAGCTAGACCAAACCTCAGCCACTTTAATACAACCTCAGCCTCTCAGATATTAGTTCACAAGACCTTGGACGGCAATTGTAAATAAGAGACAGTTACAAAAAAATCAGTTGAGGCGCCATGAGTTACGTTGCCACAGCAAACTACTGAACTTGACTAAAAAAACATAAGAAAAATAAACAGTTCATTAAAAAAAATCTTGAGATACTTTGATGACAAATATTTTCATTTTTTTCTAAAATTTCACACACTGACTTCACCTCATATATCTGAAGTTACTTCACTTTGAGTGGTGTTGCTGAAGCACTGAGCTGCACCGCTACTTAGACTGTGCACACCGCCTGAGCTGCCCACCCAACCCACCCACCAACCCACCCACCCCGCCTGCAAATTTTATTCTCCTAAATTATGTGCTTTTTTATATATTCGATTACTCAAGAAGTGTACAGCGACCCGCATTACTTCTGACGGTGGTAATATTAATAGAAATTTGCAAATTTTCCTCAAAATTTGTATATTATATTTGAACATCAGACATTTTTTAAAGTGTTCTTCATTTATATCTTAAAATATCCTATTTTTTATATACTTGCTATTTTTTTATTAAAATTTAAGTAGTTTGTTTAAACTTTTCTGGAGAATGTTTCAGTCTGTGTGTGTGTGTGTGTGTGTGTGTGTGTGTGTGTGTGTGTGTGTGTGTGCTGCAAATGCCCTTCCCCCATTCGTAGGTGAGATCACTCCTAGCAAGCGGTGTGACGCCCTCCTATAACATGACTCACACAGATACTACCCGTAGAGACTATAAACACACTACTACTATATGTAGCTACATCAGCAGTGCAAATGCTCCCCTCTCTCTCTTCCCTTCAATTTATATATATATATATATATATATATATATATATATATATATATAATATATATATATATATATATATATATATATATATATATATATATATATATATATATATTTATATATATGTCGTGCCGAATATGTAAAACTGGTCAATTAGCAAGAACTCATTTAAAATTAAGTCCTTTCTGAAATTTTCTCTTATACGTTTAAAGATATATTTTTTTCATCAATGTTAATACAAAAATTTATAATTTTGGACCAAAAGAATCTTAGAAAACTTACCTAACCTTATTATAACAAGTGTAATTTATTTTAGCCTAACCCAAGTAAATATATTTTAAATACGTTTACAATAATTTAGTACTAAACAAACACAATCAAATATATTTTTTTCGTTAGGTTCAGAATGATTTTGGCGAAATTATTGCATACACAAATTTTCACTTGTCCTATATGGCAAGATGAGCGTTGCTATTTAAGCCAAGATCGCAAGTTCTGCCTATTTGGCACGACATACACATACACACACACACACACATATATAATATATATATATATATTATATATATATATATATATATATATATATATATATATATATATATATATATATATATATATATATATATATATAATTTCCTGTGACTGACAACCAACACATTGATCTCACACTCAGAAAAACATTTTGTTATCATTTGTGTAGTCTTCCTCTCAACTGGCTGTGACTGTACACTCTCACTCATGGCCTTGTACCCTATCATACCACTTCTTCAAGCTGTGTATGGAGTCACCTCTCCATTCAAGATCATTCCACTTTCTGCTCACTCGCAAAAAAATGTATTCCCTGGCATCCTATGCTCATGTGTGTGCTGAGTGTATATATCTGTGTATGTTTGTTTTGTGTACGTGTAAATGTACGCAAATCAATCACAGGGGAATTCCCACTGTGGTTGATTTGCATCTGTTTTCGCCATTATTGCATGTGAATGTATGTTTATATATCTTTGAATCTGTGTGTGTACGTGTGCGTATTTGTGTGTACTGTACTTTCGTATGTGTACGTGTTTACATGTGTGTAAATGCTCATTTTGTATTGAAAACACTATTATATTTACATAAATGTAGGTAAGTGAACTTATCTTAGTCACCAGACCTTTGTGGGTTCACTCTTTTTAGTGTTCCACTCATTCTCCTCCTCCTCCTCTCCGTCTCTCACTGGTTCTCTCCATCTTTCACTGTCTACCTTCTTTACTGTCTCCCTCGGTCTCTTTCTTCCTCTGTCTCTGTCTCCATCACCGTCTCCCTCCTTCACTGTTTCCCTCCTTCACTGTCTCTCTCCGTCTCTCACTGTGTAACACCAGAGGGTCGTCAACAGGTTTCGACGAGACAAGGCAAGTGGAGGCTCTGGCACGCCTAACAGTGCCGCCTCTGACATGGTGGGCGTGAGTGGACGTGATGTGGAACGAGGCTCCGGTGAACGCTCGGACTCCGAGGTGGTGGGCACCACCGATGCCCTCAAGGTAATAATAATAATAAAAATAACAATAATATTGGTCTTTGGCAAGCATCGTAAACAAGTGTCTCTCCACCCTAAGAGTTTGTGTCAGCAGATATTACTGTCAAAGCTTTTCTTCATTATAAGTAGATTAAGTTGTATGTGATGCTCGAACCAGAGCATAATTGTGTCCTCTGGTACAAATGGTTTCTTGAAACACTGCTGAGGCACTCAAATATCGCTTAGCAATCCTGTTGTAGACTTTCAGCCCCTAAAGCAACATTTTTCTATCCAAAATTTATATCTGCAGTCAGAGAAACAGACTTAAGTTCACACATGATCTAGCAGTTGGATCTAAAGCCCAACCGAAGGTATAAGAGTGTAACATATGTGTTTGTTGTGTGTAGTTGGTAATTTACGGATATTCTAAACTACTGGCTCGACAGGACGACCCTTTTTCATCAATGATTCGTAATAACATGATTGCAAACAAACCACGGAACGGGTGAGGTTTGAACCCATGGCGAGTGAGTCTGGAGTTTTAGGACTCACTTGCCATGCATTCATACGCCACTAGTTCCATGGTTTCGTCAACGAGTTTAAAACAGGTATATCATGCTGCTTCGCTAGGCACACCATAAAGTTCACATTGAACTATATAAATCACACAACCCTTGCTACCAGAGGCTAAGTCGACAATGGAGGAAATCCTCTCTTAGTAAATGACTAAATCCACATTGGACATAGAATTTACATGACTCATGTTTCCATTAACTAAGTTTCATAAAGAACTTAGCTTATAGAAACTAAATTCAACGATAAACACACCAGCCAGAGCTGAAGTTCACAAGTCCGTACAGGAGATACTTCAAACACGGAGCAGAGCTCTCAGACTACGTCCACACTGACCAATTAATATGCTTGTGTATTTAATGGATACGCTGAACTCTATCTGCCTGCATTCTCTGCTCAGCAAGCACTGATGACTGCACTGAAAATCCCAGAAACAACTGGCAGAGTGCTGCCCTGGCAGTTATCACAAAACAAAGCTCCTCCCATCGCTTGTTGAACTGTATGTTACAGCCAGATGTGGCAGCCAGGTGTGGCAGCCAGGTGTGGTAGCCAGGTGTGACAGCCAGGTGTGGCAGCCAGGTATGGCAGCCAGGTGTGGCAGCCAGGTGTGGCAGCCAGGTATGGGTAAATCCACCAAGCCACCTCAAATACTATTTCTCCTAGACTGACGGACTGATTACATCTTCATTTCATTTGACTGAAGAAACCTACTGTGTAAGCGAAACGTTTCAACAATAAAGATACCCAGGTGTTATATATGTGTCTTACTCATCATCAGTTTCCATCACCAAGTTGTCTTTACCTGATGTAATTGAGATTAATCAAGATTCATCGGTCAGGAGGCAGGATAAACACCACCTATCGCGGGGCATATGATCATCTGCCACTAGAGGATTTTGCCATATGCTCGAGGCCTTCCGCTGGTTTACCTCTCCACTCCCTTTATGAATAAAAAATAATATTTGATGTATCAAATACAAGTTCCGTAAATAATGTTGGGTCATCGCAAATTACAAAGGAATTTTTAGTGTCAGTGGATAAAGAGAGAGAAAATAATTTCTTTTCTTTAATGTTGACCAGTTGGGCATACCTTTGATATACCTTTGAAGAGTTTCGAGAGTTTATCTACTCTCTGAGCCCGGCCATGGGCCAGGCTCAGAGAATCAGGCATAGAATCAAAGCTTACAAAAGTCAGTTCCATTTCTTGAATACACATAAATATACATAAAATATGTTTAAGGAAACATTTGTCCACATAAGGAATGTGGTGTGCCATCATAATATTGTTAATAAGGCAAGTATGTTGCCTGATGTGGCGGTGTCTCCTTTATTTGCATTAATAATGAGGTGCAAAGTATGTAGTTGTTTCTGAAGTGACAGGTGTCCGCGTCTCGTGCAGGTGGTGAAGATGCCGCCGGCCAGAATGAACAACATCTGTGAGACTAATGGACCTCGTAAGTGGAAGAACATTTTCGGCAGGAATGAGGGTAAGTAAAGGCCAAAATGCCATTTATTTCCTCTTTTTTCTTTACAGCTGTAGTTAAATTACAAAGAAAATGTCTGCGTCAACACCACGACGTCAAAGGTTTTATGACGACTTGTTCCAGATATGATATTGTGAATTTATTCTCACCAGAGTGAGGTGAATGATCTGCAGTTCCGTGTGTTGAACATTAGTTTGTCAGAAAGAATTAAATCTGTTCATATCCTTTAGTCATTTATTATTGTGATTTATCAATATTTGGCTTCTGGTATTTAATATCTATCTACTTTTAGTGACATTCTAGACGTTATTGATATCAAATTTGTCCAGTCATGGATGTACCTGATAATATATGATGTACAGGTTTAACACTATTCTTTAGTGACCTGCAAGATGGCGGTGAGTTATTCAGTGTACTGAGTACATGCTCATCTCTGTGTGCTAAGATTTTTGTTTCTGTCTTCCATTTGTGCATTTTTTTTTATTTTCTGCTATTGTTTTATTATTCTGATAGTTACCCAGTGTTTCTGAAGGTGTTGCCTGTTCATCGTCTTGATGGATATTAGCTAAAGTTTTAACTCTGCACTCTTGTGGTGGTTCAGGCAGGCGGTGAGGAAGATGGTTCCACCACAGACGAGTGCAACAAGAAGAACCTTATGCAAGATGGAGTACTAAGGAGCCTCACCAATAAGCACAACACCAACCTCTCCAAGGTACCTACATACCTCACACCCTCGACTGCATGTATCTCCCTCCTTCACCTATTTTTCCCCTCACCTCCACCCCCCACTTCACCTGTGTCTCTCACATGCTTCCTTCCCTCATCTGTCTCTCTCACCCTTCTTTTACTTCCTCTTCCTCCCTACCCTCCCCTCACCCTTCGTTTTTTCATTTATATTCTCTACACAGCATTGTACGTTTTTGCTTCTATACATATCTTTATCATCTTTCATTGTGCATTATCCTTCTCGATAAAAAATGTTCAACATCTCTTTTTTCCCCTCTTAAATAACGGCACTCTTAACATAAAGATAATTCCCGTTTATTCACTCGCTTGGTAAACTCTCTTATGGTATTTCTGCCAGTGACAAGGAATCTAACTGGTATTGAATCAATAAAGCTTCTGGCTGGCGAAACGTCTTTACAATATAGATAACCAGGTGATGAACTAGGTACTTGTGCAACAACTGGGTGTCTTTACTGTGGAAACGTTTGGCCAACCAGTGGCTTCAGTCCAGTACAGACGCCAAAGTGTTGCACAAGTGTGTAGGTCATCATCCTGTCGGTTCCACGAACCATTTATCTACTGATACCTAGGGACGGATCTACTATGAAACTAATGAAGCTTAAGTTTCAGGGCTCCTAACCCCTGAGGTGCCCAAGAAGCGACTTTAGTCAACATTGCTTAAAAATTTTGGATCCACTGTATGAAAAGGGGTTACGAAGGGGCCCCCATAACATTTCAGGCCCCAAAAATGTGGGTTCGTCACTGCAGATATCTAGCTGCTGCACATATAACTAATTCAACGTCACTGATCTTGCTAGGTTGAATCAAAATCGTTTTCTAAATCAAATGGGGACCCACAGCCTAACTGAAGTTGATAAAAAGACCTCAATGTGTAAAAACAATATATATTTTTTATTTCTCTTTGAAGTCGTATGAATATTCCACTAGCACGCCATCTTTTGGAAATACACCAAAATGTATATTCCATTATGTAACATTGTGTATTATTTCCGTGTATTGGATTTCCACTTTTGCGTAGGTAAACTTACGACGCCATTTTGCTTACCACTTCAGCGCTATATTACCTGTACGGGTTTAGAGAATTTTTGTTCAATACAGCTAACTCTTATAGATTTTTATAATCAAAAAAGAAGCGCTAAACCACAAGGGCTATACAGTAACTCTTATAGAGCTTCTCTGTAGAGTGTATTTTGTTTTATAAATGCGATTGAAAAAAAAGTGCATCAGAAAGTGTATATCTTGCATGTTGAAGGTCCTTGCAACGGGGTATTCAATTCTGAATGTACCTTTCCAATGGCAATGTACCTTTCCAATGCAATGTACCTTCCAATGCAGTGTACCTTTCCAATGGCATTGATTGCCCTGTATAGAGGAGCTTGATGAGAGAGCTGACTGTGGAATAATAAGCTTGCCACTCTAGTTAGTGAAGGTTGTACCTTCACAAATGCCAATTCAACATTCACAATGTTCCATTCATTAGGCTCTTTACCCTCTTTTTTTACAGTTAAGATATTTTAGTGTAAGTAATTTCATGGTGGACTTCTAAACCCAGGGTGATACTTCTCCTGGTCCAGCTGCTTTACTTTTGTTTTTATTGATCTTTTATACTTAAAACTCCCATGTATGAGATATATAGCCGAAAGTTTGGTCCGCTAAATAGGTGATTAAACACATATGATTTGCTGTATAACTGACTGTATGGTACCAGTTGTAGCCGAAAGTCCTTTAACGTTCAATAGTCTCCTGTGTGGGCATGGTTATTAGGAACTTGTTCCAGGGCCAGTATTATGCCTTTTTAATTTTTTATTTAAACCCGATATTGAGGCTGAATTTCCATTTTCCAGTTGGAGTTGAAAACTCCGAACTAGAGGATAACCAAAATTCTTATAAATTTTCTCCATTCATAAGTCATTTTAGCTTTTCTTATTATATATTTTTTATGATATTTCATTCTATATTATTATAGTTATTAAAATAACTAATATTTTATAAATATACCATATATATCTTTATTTCATATATATATATATATATATATATATATATATATATATATATATATATATATATATATATTATATATATATATATATATATATATATATATATATATATATATATATATATATATATATGGTCTTCTCCAGCTTTTTTCCTATATTATTGAGTGCATATGTCTGTGTGCATATGTGTACATGTGCGCATAAATATATGCATACACTAGTACACGTGTGTACACGCTTGTGAGAGCCTGGTTTTCTTGGACTGACTGGCTGGTGTTACTTGTCCCTCCCTCCCTGGCAGACTCTTGGAGTGACTCCCAAGAAAGCCAACACATCCTCAGCCACCACGCCTGGCACTACGCCCAACAACAACCATAACAACAACAACAACAATAACAACAACAACAACAGTGCCAAAACAGTGGCCAAAAAGGTAAAGGAAGGACAGAAAGAGTAGTGCCATACCCACCTCTTCCCCTCCCTCCCTCCACAACAGTACCCAAACCATCCCAGAGCTATTCCCTTCCCTAGTTCTCTGTGCCAAGTAGGCGCTACTTGCTGCTTTGTCATGTAGCCGTTGTTCCAGACCTTGTATACCTTGTAGTTAAACTGAGGCTTTCCTTAACATTTGTAGTTACTGCAATGTGTAACAAATAAATCCCAACAGATCATTTCTCCCATCCTAAATACTGCCTGCCTCCCACCACAGTCCATAGTGCCTTCCAACGTTGCCTATAGTTCCTCCCACCACAGCCTATAGTACCTCCCAACACAACCTATAGTTCCTCCCACCACAGCCTATAGTACCTCCCAACACAACCTATAGTTCCTCCCACCACAGCCTATAGTTCCTCCAATTGTAGCCATCTCGTTATCAACACGTATCGTACCCTAATCAAAGCCTGCATCATTCTTATCAAAATCTGGAGCATTCTTATCAAAGCCTTATGACACTTTTTTTATCAAAGCCTGTTGCTCCAGTATCGTACCTCGTAACATTTATGTAAAGGCATGTATCATTCTTAAAATAAAAGCTTGTACCATCCTAATCGAAGCTTGTACTACAACCTAACCTTACCTATAAATGCCTGTATCAGCATCTTTATCGGATCCTGTAGGATCAAGACCTCTAAAGTCCGTATCGAAACCCGCAACGTCCATATGAAAGCATGAAAGCGTGCTTATCCTGCCCTTTATTGTCCTTATGGAACCCTGTAGCGTGTTTACTAACCCCTACAGCCTCCTTATGTGAAACCCTATATCGTCCTTATTAAACACTATAGCGTCCTTGTTAAACCCTATAGCGTCCTTGTTAACCTTGTAACGTCTTTATCAAGGCGTCTAGCAACCCTACTGAAGCCTCGTATTGTACAAGAAAACACATACATACCCAGGCGTCTGTCTCTCTCAGCTCAGCCTTTGATGTCTGCCGTTCCTAGCTCACCCTGCCATGTTCGTAATTCCTAGCACAGACCGTCAAGTTTGTAGTGCAAACGAGTGGTAAGCTTGCTGGCCCTGACCTCTCTATCTGGGATGACCTGCCTGCCAACACCTACTAGTTCTGGCCTCTGTGCTTACACAAGACGACCTGACAACCTCCTAGTCCTCTCCTCCATCTGTGCTTATACTTGATGCATGATGACCTGAGTCTCTCCTGAGATGACCTAATAACCTCTTAGTTGTTACCTCTATATGTGCTTAACGAGGGTAACTTCACAAGCAATTCTGAGGCAATACGTTAAACTTGCCTTAATCCAAGTGAGAGAGAAAAAATACTCCTTTTTCGCTGTTTTTGGTAACAAATCTGCATACAGTAAGTTGCATGCGACCAGTGTGAGTTGAGTTCCTTACTGAGTGTTCTCTTTCAGATATTTGTGATACCTGTTGACAGGGTAAGTATTGTGTTTATATATATATATATATATATCTAAATGATGGTTTACTGGCTGCAGTTATGATAGGATCACACTAGTAGTGAATATCTGAGGTCACCAGAAAATACTCTCATTTTTTTTCTATTATTCTTTCAGTTTCAGCATTCTCTCTCCTTCTTTCCCTCTCTCTCTCTCTTCTCTCTCTTCCTCTCTCTCTCCCTCTCTCTCTCTCTCTCTCCTCTCTCTCTCTCTCTCTCTCTCTCCTCTCTCTCTCTCTCTCTCTCTCCTCTCTCTCTCTCTCTCTCCTCACTCCTCTCTCTCTTTCTCTCATAGTGACACATTAGATGCTCCTAGGCTGCTTCCTCTTCACTGCGATGCATTGTTATAACCAGTTTCGTGGCACGTAATTCAGTTTCCATGCTAGACGCTAATTTAACTAACATCAACATAGTGGTTACTCTGGCTGTCATGCTTGTACGCCAGAATATAAACACACTTTTATTATAAGCTTTTTTCTTTAAAAGGCAGAGTTAACTTATTACTCAGTAGAAACGAAGCCTAAATAAAGGAAAGTTTTGTGACGGGAATTAAATGCTACAACGGCCAACCTTGTTAGGATTTGTGATGGAGTCAGCTGGGTGGTTACCATTTAGGGAAGCTCCTCAGGGAAGAGCTGAGCAGATGGAACCGAATTGTACCAGCCATGGTATTGTGAGTTAATTGTGAGTTGCTCCAGTCATGGTATTGAGGGTTAATTGTGAATCGTTCCAGTCATGGTATTGTGGGTTAATTGTGGATTGTTCCAGCCATGGTATTGTGGATTAACTGTGAATTGTTCCAGTCATGGTATTGTGGGTTAATTGTGAATTGTTCCAGTCATTGTTCTGTGGCTTATTTTTTATTATTGACTTTCAGAACAGCACAGGTTATATAGTAGTTGTAGGTATAGCTATTGCAGCAGCAGCAACAGCAGCAATAACAGCAGCAGCAGTTAAAGCAGCAGCAGTAACAGTAACAGCAGCAGCAGTAACAGTAACAGCAGCAGCAGCAGTAACAGTAACAGCAGCAGCAACAGCAACAGCATCCTCATAAGGCAATCCTTAACTTCAAATGATATTAAAATCAGCAGAGAATATAATTTTTAAACCAACAAACTTTAATTTTTTAAGAGGAATTGGAGGGGTAAGCCAGTGGAAGGCCTCGGTCAGATGACCAAAAGCTCCAGCTGCGGGTCACCTGAAGAATCTTACCTAACCTAATTTTTCAAATGACTGACTCATGACTAACTTGTTCACCAAATATATATTGTATTTTTTAAATAAGGATTACTACATAAAAACTCATATGTAAGACAGTACGAAAAAAATGATAAAATATAAATAACTGAAAATTGTGTAAACTTGTAAAAGCCAAAAGTATATAAAAAAGTATTTATTGACAGTGTGTAAATATGTTTATATAATGTAAATAAAACAAAGTTAAAGCATATTATTTTACATTTATTAATAATGTTACAAATGAACAAAAGTGAAGATAATATGAACAATTAAGTCGAGTGGAATTATAATTGGCTGACAATATATATTAAAGGAAATATGAGAGGAAATGGGTTACTAGATATTTGAAAAGCAATTTCAAGGAAGGAAAATTTTAATTAAATCCATAGTTACTCGAAATGACTGAGTAATTAACATTATTATTATTATTATTATTATTATTATTATTATTATTATTATTATTATTATTAATATTATTATTATTATTATTATTATTATTATTATTATTATTATCAGCATCATCATCATCATCAAAAGTAAGCGCTAACGTACAATTATATATTACAAAAGATACTGACAAATCACACCTTACAAAAAAATACTTTGCTAAGAATGTAAAGAGAATTACATTGGACAGACTGGACGACACCTGAAAACTTGGCTTATGAAGCTCACCAGATCACAGCTCTTTGGAATCAAGTTCTGCGCTGTTCTAAGATATGGGAAAAATCATCAAATTAACAACAGACATAGCCCCACTCCACAAAGGGGGCAGTAAAGCAACAGCAAAGAACTACACACCGATAGCACTAACATCCCATATCATAAAAATCTTTGAAAGGGCCCTAAGAAGCAAGATCACCACCCATCTAGAAACCCATCAGTTACACAACCCAGGGCAACATGCGTTTAGAACAGGTCGCTCCTGTCTGTCTCAACTATTGGATCACTACGACAAGGTCCTAGATGCACTAGAAGACAAAAAGAATGCAGATGTAATATATACAGACTTTGCAAAAGCCTTCGACAAGTGTGACCATGGCGTAATAGCGCACAAAATGCGTGCTAAAGGAATAACAGGAAAAGTCGGTCGATGGATCTATAATTTCCTCACTAACAGAACACACAGAGTAGTCGTCAACAGAGTAAGTCCGAGGCAGCTACGGTGAAAAGCTCTGTTCCACAAGGCACAGTACTCGCTCCCATCTTGTTCTTCATCCTCATATCCGACATAGACAAGGATGTCAGCCACAGCACCGTGTTCTTCCTTTGCAGATGACACCCGAATCTGCATGACAGTATCCTCCCTTGCAGACACTGCAAGGCTCCCGGCGGACATCAACCAAATCTTTCAGTGGGCTGCAGGGAAAAAATATGAAGTTCAACGATGAGAAATTTCAATTACTCAGATATGGTAAACACGAGGAAAATTTAAAACTTAATCAGAGTACAAAACAAATTCTGGCCACAAAATAGAGCGAAAAAACCAACGTCAAAGACCTGGGAGTGATCATGTCGGAGGATCTCACCTTCAAGGACCATAACATTGTATCAATCGCATCTGCTAGAAAAAAAGACAGGATGGATAACGAGAACCTTCAAAACTAGGGAGGGCCAAGCCCCATGATGACACTCTTCAGGTCACTTGTTCTATCTAGGGTGGAATATTGCTGCACACTAACAGCACCTTTCAAGGCAGTGAAATTGCTGACCTAGAAAATGTACAGAGAACTTTCACGGCGCGCATAACGGAGATAAAACACCTCAATTACTGGGAGCGCTTGAGGTTCTTAAACCTGTATTCGCTGGAACGCAGGCGGGAGAGATACATGATTATATACACCTGGAAAATCCTAGAGGGACTAGTACCGAACTTGCACACGAAAATCACTCACTAAAAGCAAAAGACTTGGCAGACGATGCAACATCCCCCCAATGAAAAGCAGGGGTGTCACTAGCACGTTAAGAGACCATACAATAAGGGTCAGGGGCCCGAGACTGTTCAACTGCCTCCCAGCATACATAAGGGGGATTACCAACAGACCTGGCAGTCTTCAAGCTGGCACTGGACAAGCACCTAAAGTCGGTTCCTGACCAGCCGGGCTGTGGCTGGTACGTTGATTTGCGTGCAGCCAGCAGTAACAGCCTGGTTGATCAGACTCTGATCCACCAGGAGGCCTGGTCACAGACCGGGCCGCGGGGGCGTTGACCCCCGGAACTCTCTCCAGGTAAACTCCAGGTATAGAAGAGTATATACATATATATATATATATTATATATAT